CATTTTTTCATTTGTATTTAAAGGACAATCTTAGTATTATAATCGCCTCGTTTCTTTATCACTTTTGGTTAGAAATGAAATGAATTTTGTAAGAATATTTTCTTTCTCATCATTTTCCATAAATTCTCACTCAACTTACAAATCAAACACGAGAAAATATACCATTTTTTCTTTTTTCAAGTCACCTCATCCAGAAGAAGTGTTTTGAATCAGGTATCAAACAATTTCCAATTTGCTTGCAAATTACACTAACAGTTTATCTAATTTGAAACTTCTGTCAATTTAATACATAAATTTTCAATTGTTAGACATTTGACCTTAAATTTTAAATCTTATTTCAAATAAAGACAATTAAAGATGTTTCCTTTGCAAACGATCTATTTCAAGAGTAAAGTCGTTATACAACTTATTTTATGTTTGTTAACTTGTATGTCGTTTAAAATGTAATGCCTTTTTTTTAATGAATAATGTTGATACTTTCTTGGTTATAAAGTCCTCTTCAGTTTGGTTTTTAGAATCTATTTTTAAAATTTTTTTCTAAGAACCTAAAAATTAAATTGGTGAAATAAAATTAAAAATACATCATTTTTATATAATTTTATCTTTTGGAAGGGTATAAATAATTTTTTTTGATATTTATTTTCAGTAAATTAGTTTCTATTTTTTCAAAAGTTAAACATGGTGATAACTTTGATACCATTATTAAACCAATCCATTAAATCAAAAAATCTAAAACTAAAAATATTTCATATGTTAAACATATTGATTACACATTCAAAACCTAATAACCATCCAACCACCCATTATATGATAAACTTTCAAAAAATATTTGTTAACAACAAAAACAACTATCTATTACATGATAATCATAAACAAAATATCAATAAAAACAATCACTCATTACATGATCATTATCCAAACATAGTAAAAAGTAATTTGGTAAAAAATAAAAATGTAAAAGATTTATCATTTTTATATAATTTTTATCTTTGGTGGGTATAAATACTTTTTAAAAATTCAAAAATAACTTTTTGTCATTTTTTTAATCAAATTAGTTTATATTTTATCAAATTAATGATATTGGCCTTCAAATGGAGCATTTTTCGTTTGCAAAAGAAAACGGTGTCTTCAATTGTCCTTATTTTGAACGAGATTCAAAATTTAAGGTCAAATATATCATAATTAAAAAATTAAGAATCAAAGTGGTGCAAGTTCCAAACTACAGGGACATATAATTCATCATTTATCTTATTTTAATTTAATTTTGAGTTAATTACCTAAAAGTTCTAATCATAAATCTCATATTATATTAGATCATATCTAAGATTTTTTAAACTAATAAGTACTATTTAGTAAAATTGATAATATTGTTAGTTTTTCTCAATTTTTAAAATTAAGCATATTATCAATTTTGTATAGTAATGTAACGCTCCAATTTTCATGCCCAAATGGTAATACAATAGTCATGGCTCTTTTAAAGTAAAACTGATAATAAATCCTCATACTTACATTACATGATGTAAATAGTCTTTATACGATAATACAATTAATCCAACAACAATTAATTAAATAACAAATGCCCCCAAGGGTTTACAAGTTTCCAAGGCTTGAGTCTGGTTACACAAAACGGTTATTCAAACTCACACATACAAAGCCCTTGGCTTACAATCAGAGTCACAGCAAATGAGCACATTATGCTCTCTGCACACACTACCATGCCTTCAGTTAGGCGGAATCACCACATCTTTTCCTGCACAAAAGTCTCGTAGGGTGAGCATAAAGCCGAGTAGAGAATTCTTAACAAAGTATATACATTTTACATAAATCTCAAGAGATGGAATGCTTATGCCATACCATGTCTTTTTGCAAATAAAACACACCTTTATCTTTTGAAAGCCAACATGCTCAATGATGTCATGTAATTTCAACTGCTCAACATTTATCAAATTTTATTCAAGAGGCAGTAAATACAACTCTGATAACCCTAGGTTGGTGTCTGTAAGTAGACTATACAAGTACTACCAATTTGTCATTTTTACCGGTATTAACCGGAAGGCTCGATACCTCTAGTTTGTCATTTTTACAAGAGTTAACTGAAAGGCTCGACACCTATAATCTACACCACCTTCCAAGACTTACCACCGTATTCACCCCAAAACCATTTCATGAAAACTTATTTTTTAGCATTCTTTTCTCAATGCAAAGTTTTCAAATCAAATTTCAAAGCTCTTCATTTTCAATGAATTGATATGCCAATGTATCAATTAATACAATGCAACATTTTATCCCTTTTCCATTCTTCCACACAATATTTCAATTGTGATCGAAATTTCCATTTCTCCTTTCAATACATTTTCACAAGATGAATAAATACATTTATTTCAATTCATCCAAGAGATAACATAACCCTTATATTTCAAGCCATCTCAACAATTTCCCATATTCTATGAAAATATCATTTATATAAATATAAATAAGAAATTTTTCAACATCCATTTATTTTGACATACAAAGTAAATACAACACATCATCCATGATTTTTCAACATCTTTTTAAAAACTCCTATTTTCTAGGTTTTCTTACTAAAACAATTCATCTCCAAAACATTTGAAGAAATCTCATCAAAAACATATTTCTTTAATCAACATAGTTCAAAACCCCCAATTTCTATCTCAAAGGATCAAATAGTAAACCCACTTTCAAAATTACTCTTTTTTCTTGAATCAACAATTTATTTTCAAAACTAATCAAAGGATGATTTCGAAAATCATCTTGATATTGCAAAACATATATATAACTCAAAGAAAATCTCTACCTGAAGTGTATAAAACCTAAGCAACAAGGTGGAACTTCAAAGATGACGAAACCAATTTCTTCTTGGATCAAAACGAAGCCCTTGAAGCCCTCTACCTTATTCTCAAAGACACTAGGGTCAAGAACGCAATGGATCTAGATAAAATCTTAGAGAGAAGGTGTATTCTAGAGAGAGAGTATGTAGACCTGCGTTTTTTTAGAGTTTTAAAGAGAGAGTGAGCTGCAAAAGTGACCTAAAATGTCTCGTTCACGATCTGATATGAACATGCTCGCTTGAGCGAAGGAGTTGTCGCTCGAACGATTAGACACAACAAGTCACCTCGATCGAGCGTAAGAATCGTCGCTCGAGCGTAGAATGCAAAGCTTCAGGTCTGTCACCAATGCAGACGCACGCTCGAGCGCAAGAAGTCTCGCTCGAGTGAAGAAACAATTTCACAAGGTTCGCTCGACTGCAAGAAGCCTCGCTCGAGCGAAGAAACAATTTCACAAGGCTCGCCCGACTGCAAGAAGCCTCGCTCGAGCAAAGAACAGATTACACAAGGCTCGCTCGAACGCAAGAAGCCTCGCTCGAGCGAATAAGACAAAATCTGGGCAACAACATTCTAGACCAACTAACAATCAACCAGTTTCAACACATGCCCAACCTAATCCAAAACTCAAATACAAAGAGTTAAAGGAAGAAAACAAGACATAGAGAACAATACACAATTACGGAATTCGACTCCGGAACACAATGAAGGTCGGGTAAAAGCCTGGGTCGCTATAGTAATGTTCAAGATAATTGTTTCACTAACTGATAAAAAAAAATAAAGCATGAGATTAAACGTTTTTGCTCTTCTACTTATTGGTTTGAATTAACTATCCAATAAAACCGAGAAGATTATTAGTTTTTTCAAGTTTAAAAACTGAAAACATTATCAATTTTTTCATTTTCAAAGTTTTTTTTTTTTTTTTTTAGTTTTGCACATCAATGTTCCATTATCATACTTCTTTATAAACACAAAATTTTTAGTTTTTCACAATAAAATAATTCAATTTTTTCAAAAAAACAAACATTCAGTAGGTTTGGTTTTAATTTTCTGAAAATTGAGTTTTTTGTTTTTCATTTTTTTTATTCTTAGTGAATATTTTTAAAATGTTAGCAATTTATTTTTATTTTTTTAGATGAACCTTAATTAAATGTATTTAAAAAGTAAAATATTTGTAAAAAAATAATAAATACATATGAAGAAGAAAAATGTATTGAAATCTCTTTCTTTTTTTTTCCGGGTATTTAGTTAATTTCACAAATAATATATTTTTTTAGTGTATTTATGTTAGGTGTATCTATAAATTAAAAAAAAAATACTTAGAATATTAAAAAAATTAAGTAAAAACAAAAAAATACAGAAAACAAAAAACTTTAATTTTTCGAAAAGTGAATTTTAAAATCCAAATCAAACAAATTGATTAGTTTTTTATTTTATTTTTACACATAACTTTTTTTTATTTAGTTTTTTGGCACATACCATTTTCGGCCATAACTATACGGCCACAACCAAGGACTGCGAAATATGAACACTAGGGTTTCGTCGTCGTCCACGATCTGCCCTGTCACAAATACAGTGGCCCAACTAATCACAGCAACAAACGGAAATTGCCCACTCAATCTTTATAATTTCCCCCCAAATCACGCGAACGGTATATATGGTCAATCCCAATTTCGAAATCCAAGCAAATCGCAAAAACGAGGGTTTCCTATGTTACGTTTCCACTTCACTGTGTGTGGGGATGTGGATACTTAAATCGGGTTGAGTTTTTAATGGGTATGGGTTTTCAATATGTGGAATACGTGGCAACCAAAACCCACAAGCATTCTCTACAAAAACCCTTGGTAAACTTTTCGCGTGCGTAACAGCCAAATGTGTGACACGTGGCAAATCTCATGCCATTTTACCTGATCTGTGACACACGCGCAAGCCATGTATCACATGAAAAGTCCACACATACTAATGGCAATTGGGTCCTTTCACAACAAACAGGACTAAATGGAACATGAAAAAACATTTGGAACTAATTGGATTATAATATCAACAAGTAGAATTTATTGGTAAATCTCCCTAAATTAAAATTTATGCGTAAATGTCCAATTAATTTTAATTTCCTTTCGCTTTCTACGAGTGCGTCGGACGCGTGGTATTTAAACAGGTAAATGCAACCAAACAAGGAATATCCCCGTCGAATTCGATCAATTCAACTCTCTCTCTCTCTCTCTCTTCCCCAATTATCTACGAGAATCGTCTCTCTTTCCTCATCACGAAACCCTAGAGAGAGAGGGCGAGAGAGAGCTTCGTCGTCTTTAGACCCAGAATACAATAATGGTGTTCTACTTCAAAGCCCGAGCCGAGGCCGGTGACTACACCATCTTCATGGGTCTCGACAAGTTCGAGAACGAGGAGCTCATCAAATACGGCTTCCCCGAAGACATCTGGTACCCCCGGCTCCTCACCCTCTCCATTTCTCCAAACTCTATATCTTTCTCTGTATTTGTATATATATATATTGTCAAATTATTGTTTGCTTTTTTATTTTTTTCTTTAAAAATCTAAAAATTGTATTTTTTTTTATCTGCTGTCAAATTTTGCGGGGTTCAATTTCTGGGTAAGTCACTCTTGTTCTATTAAACTCTCATGATTGGTATATGGTTATGTTTAGTGTAATTGGTGTTTGATGCAATTCCTTTGTAGATAGCTTATATTTACATAGTCAATCTCACGTTTTATCAGAGTGGTATAATTTAGGATTAATGCTCCGCAGCTGATGTTTACAATCCGATGGTATCCCTATAGCTTCACAAGAAAATGAGCGTCATTGATTGGGTTAATTAGACACAATGCACAATTAAATTGACACAGGAAAAAAAAAATTCAAATTGGGCACTTTTTGGCATATTGATGGAGAAGGGTAGCTATAGGAGTGCATTTATTTTTCCTAGTAGTATTTCCATGGTTTTTTTTAACTTTACCTCCTCCAAGATCCTATTGTAAAGTGGGAGCCTTGTGCATTAGGCACAACCTTTTTAGCATATCCTTAGGTTAAAACATATACCATCACAATAGTGCAATAATAAAGGGCAATACCTCTATTCATCTTCCTCCCTTCCCCCTCTCTCTGCTATCTCTCTCTCTCTCTGGTCTATTGGGCAGCGCTGTGAACCTCGCTCAGCTCCGCTCGCGAAATCCATCCAGCATTGCTACTTGCAAACTCTGTCCTGCACACTACACCACCTTTGTCTTCCTCCCAGCCTTGCGACCTCACCATTCTTCTTAGATTGTCTTCACCCATAAAACCACCATCAACCAAGGGCTCATTGGGGTTTGTCTATTGAAGATCGATTCTTTCTCCTAATTTTTCTTTGAGCGATTAAATTTTTAGGGTAGGCCAATTCCATTTTTCCATACTAGCGAGGTTGAGTGTAATTTGAGTAATTGCCAAGGGAGGTCTGTATTTGTCCTTTATTTATTTATTTCATAGCCTTATTAAGGCTTTAACAAATATGGAGGTATATGATGCATTGGAAGTTATAGTGGTACTTTTGATTTGTATACATGGGTGGTGCCCTCTAGGTACTGTTCTTCTTCTTAAATAAAATTTACTTCTAATTGAAGAAAAAATAGTCTGTGAATTCATAATTGTTTTCGGTTACCACTTGATATGGGATTCTTTGATGAGAGGGCAGGTGGTTGTGCTTCATAACCTTTAGGGCTCACAGATCTTGTGGATTCTCTACCTGTACCATGCTTAGTTTTTAATCTTTTATACATTTGGTATAAGCTTTAGATATGGATGAGGGTTGTGTGTTAGATAACTTGAAAATCAGTTCATATATTTTTTTTTGTAAGATCCTTTATGTACATGAATCCTAATATAAATATGGAAATAAGGGCTAGGGTGTTCCCTGTAAGTGACGCGTTGTGCCTGTCTTTTAGCGTTTCGAAAAATTGGCAAGGGGCTCTACATTGGTGCCCAGGTACAATGCAAAATAGACAAGGGTTCCTGCGGTTTTCTAGGCAAGATCGAGCGGTTAAAGAACTTAGCCCAGAATTGTAGTACTTGGAATATAGGATCATTAATAGGTAAAACCATGTAATTAATAGATATTATGATTGGAAGGAAAATTAGTGTAACATGTTCACAAGAAACTTAAGTGGCTAGGTGAAAATACGAAGGAAAAAAAATTGGGTTTGAAATTTATCATACTGGTCAAGATGGAAATAAACATGGTGTAGGAATAATTGTAGCTAAACATAAGTTAGTAACAATGACAAAAATAGGAGATAAAAATAAAAAATAAAGAAATTTATAATTGGAGAAATTATGGGTAATGTGATTAGTGTCTATACACCCCAAATAGGATTGGAGGAATATATTAAGAAGGCAATTTTGGGATCATTTGGATGAGTTGATGCAACAAAAACTTGTTGAAGAACAGATAACTATAGTTTTATGACAGAATTGTGCATTGTCAAGTAAGTCCACCCAATTTTTCTAATTTACTATGACATAATGTCTCAGATATTCCTCCAGCAATGCATTCATCCGCTCCCCCTGACCATTAGTTTGTAAGTGGTTTGCTGTGGAAAATTTCAACTCTGACCTGATCAGATTTGAATAACTTTGTCTAGAACCGCTAGTAGAGCAAGTGTCCCGATCACTCACAATATCCTCTAGTACTCCAAGATATTTTAATTAGGTTAAGTGTATGAAAAGTGAGCATTTGAGGGTGCTAGTGCCAGATGAGAAGAATAAGGAAATATGAAATAAGTGTTGATGGAACAGGAGAATAAAGGTTTTATTGTCAACTAAGGCTTCGTTTTAGAACATATTATTTTAGTAATTTTTTGATTTTTTATGAAAAGATTTGCAGAAAAGTAAAGAGAGCGATGTGACAATTTATAGTGACTTGTTGACTAAAATTGAAAGTTGCCAAACGAGGCCTTAGAGTTTGAGGTGGAATTTGAATTGAAGAAGATGAAATCAAGTAACCTAGTAGGACCAGATTTTATCCTTATTGAGGCTTAAAAATGCTTAGGTAAGAAAGGAGTATCTTGGTTAATAATTTTTTTAATAAGATTCTAATGACTAAGATAATGCTTGACAATTGAAAAAAATATTCTAGTGCTTGTGTATAAATATAATATAGATATCCAAAATTGTAACAACTATAGAGGCATTAAGTTAATGAATCATACAGTGTAATTATAGGAGAGAGTGCTTGAACATTGCTTAAGAGCTACAACATTATTAGAGAATCAATTTGGATTTATGTTTGATAAATCAACTATTGAGATGGTTTTGTCATGTAAAACGAATACCTATTGATGCATTGGTAATGAAGAAAGATATGATCACCATAAATGGAAATATTAGGGGGAGAGGAAGACATAAATTGATGTGGAATGCGGTAGTAAAAAAAGATATGAATATTTAATTTAACTGGGCATATACCCTTTGGTAGAGTAGAATGGTGAAAAAAGATTTGTGTAGCTGATCCCACTTAATTGGGACGCAAGGCTTAGTTTGTTTTGTGTTGGTTTAGTTTGGCTTGATTTGGCTGTGAGTTTGGTTATTATTTTGGAAATTTGTATGTTTAGTGGCTTAGCTCTTGTGAGTTTTTGTAATAATCTGTGTGAATATGTAGAGGCTCTTTACAGCAAATGACCTGCAATCTAATCTCCTATGAGGTATTTCCTTCTTTACTGGTATTTGTTGGTATATTGAACCAGTTTTCTCACATAAAACACCTTTGCACAAACTCATGGGGCTTACTTGTTAGGGTTTAGGTCTTGTGTATATTTGATGGGTTTCCATTCCAAGATAGGAGAATATTTACGTTGTTTTGTTTCAGTGTAATCTTTTCTTTACATTTGGCACTTTCTTGACCGGGTATTCTACTGCAGGTTTCACGTGGACAAAATGTCTTCAGCCCATGTTTATGTGAGACTGCACAAGGGTCAGACAATTGATGATATATCTGAAGGTCTTTTGGAAGATTGTGCTCAACTAGTCAAGGCGAATTCCATCCAAGGCAAATGCTTCAAATTCTTACTATTTTGTGCTTTAACTGTAGCGAGCCATTAGATAACCCTTAACTAAACTATCTGAGTGTCAAAGAAGTTAAGGACTTTCACCTTATTATATTCCTTGAAGATGGAAACATGCAACCATCCCCTAACAACACTCTCCTTCACTGAGTAAATTTTGCTTCTAAGTTATTTCCTATAGGAAAGTGCGATCACATATTAAGCTGGTGCAGTTTTGGTGTTCTCTTGATCTCCATCTTAAGATTATGAAAATAACCTATGAGTCTATGACAGTAATTAAAAAACACTTCCCACTTCCTTATTCTCTCCCAGCTTACTATCAATCAAGAACTTCCATTTCCTTATCCGGTTCCACTTTCCTACTTTTTCTCATAGCTGTGCACTTAGAATGTGAGTGCCATCCTACTAGTATATAACATATTTCTCTTTTTTCAGATTTCGTGAAGACAGTTTTGTGACATCTTTAGGTAATGCCATTGGATTGTCCTGATTACATTACAGTCTCGAAACTGTATTGTGAGGGCACTTCATGTGTTACATTTGTCCTCTCGCTAAAGCCCCTGACAGCTTGCTTGCAGCATGTGAAAGAAAAGGATTAAATTTATCACTCGTAACACTTTTAAGGAATAACATTTAAGAAAAAAGAAATGAAAGGAGCGTCAAAAGTTCCAAAACAAAGAAACACGCAAACAAATAAATAATTGAATAAATCTTGAGTTCAAATATTTAATTATGTTTTCAAAATTGAAGAATGGGATTAGATCCAAGGTTGTATGCTTGTTTTTGCTCAGTTCTTTCTTATTGTTTACTTGATTGTCCCATTGGGGTTAGATTTTCGGTACTAAATTAAATACTATTAACTCCAAAGTTGGAAGTCAAGTATTGTGAATATATATAATATACAAATTGATGTGTTGGCAATATTTAAGTTAGCATCTTCCATATCATGAACTTCAGCTTATCATAGTAGTGTTAAAAATCTAGTTAATATTTTGTTTGCACTATGTGCATGAAGTACTGAAACTTCAAAAGAAAAGACAATAATGCATTCTGATAAATATGGGTAATTTAAGGGTTGATTTGGGATGTTATAAAAAAGTGTACTTTTTGACTTATTGGCTTATATGGGTTGGGTTTGGGTTGGGTTTGATGGGATGTGTTAGAGAAGTGATGTGATTTAAATAAGATGATGTGACTTAAATAGGATAGTGACTTTTTGACTTTTTGTATTATTTAGTTTATGCCAAACCAACCCTAAGTGGGAAAAAACTGTCTACTAAATCGTTAGTTTAGATTTTTTTATTACATTTTTTTGGTTGTTGCTTGAATAAATTTCACTTAAAATTGTGAGAAATATTGTAACTTTGAGGTTAAAACATCTGTCTCTACTATTTGTGTGTTTAAAAAAAAAAAAAAAACCCACCGGAACTAGGTTTAAAATATCACCTCACTATGTTATATCCACTTTTCACATGTTCTGCATCAACTTGGCTTGGGCTGATGGAGATTATGACTATAATTAATGGTCTTGCTTTTTGCCTGCTTTGCATTCGGCAATGCTCTGGCAATGCGGTAACTCATTTCTTTGACATCATTTATATCTGACAGGAAACAAGGTGAATAATGTTGATGTTGTTTACACACCCTGGCAAAATCTGAAGAAGACTGCTTCCATGGATGTTGGCCAAGTTGGCTTCCATAATCCAAAAATGGTGAGCTTTTCTGTTGCAATTTGGTTGAATAGTGCCTATAACTTCCATTTTCCTTCTTTGTATTGAGCGTGGATGTGGGAGATAGCCCTTGTTTGATATTGCTGATCTGTTTAGGTCCGCACTGTGAGGGTGGAGAAGCGTATAAATGAGATAGTGAATAGATTGAACCGGACAAAAGTAGAAAGGAAACCAGACTTGAAAGGTATTTTATAGTTTTTGCTTGCTTGTGAGATTTTTAGATGGACTTCATCTTCATTATCTAATTTCAGAGGATATATTATTTTTGTTGTCCTATTTGATTGAAATAATAGTTAATAACTACTCACTGTTTTATTATTATCTTGTTTTCCTACACGTTTTTGTAATTTTTACTCTATATATACCACTACTAATTTTCAATATGTTATTTGTTTCTGAGCTGTACATCTTTTGAATATTAACATGCTTTTGATTTTCTTTTTGGATATAAAAGTTATTTGTACCTGTATATTGTGCAGCGGAGCGTGAAGCAGTTAATGCAGCAGAAAGAGCAGAGAGAAAACTACAGCTGAGAGATAAAGTGAGTATTGTATTTTCTCTGCTGTTTTTTGACAAGAGTAATAAATGGGTGTTTATTATTATGTTCGCATGAGCTTGAAATCTTATTAAGTATTCAATTTTTTTATAACTAGGAAAAGGATTATCTTTGCAAATATTCGAATCTACAGAAAAATTCTTTGTGCCAGTTAACTAGTATTTGCAAATTGTTTGTATTCCTTTTTACCTTTGGCACTAAGTTTCTTCTTGAATTGTAGTCATCAGTTTCATCTTGCTGCCTCATTCGTTATCCTGGCATTTCCATTTCCTTTTGTGAGCTTTCGCCTTGTTTTCGCATAGTCTGTGATTGTAGGAGTGACAGCAGGCCCATATTAATGACTGATATCCTGAACTGTACCTGTGGTTCATGTTAGTTTACTACATAAAGCTAATCCATCCTCACCACTTTGAAAGTTTTGTGGATATTGCAAATAATTTCTAATTTTGAAATCTCGAGATATTTTGGGCAATTATAGATTCATTACTTTTGCTTCAATTTCCCTAGCAGCTGTTACTTTTCTCTCCTGGATACTTTTGTTGCTCTCAATTTCCTTGCCAAGTCTCTCTTCATTTTCTGTGTCCTAGCTATTGTATTTGTTAATACTCTAGGCCCAATTATTCCCTCAATTAAATGTTCAAAATTGTCAGTATATCAGTTTCACTAGAATAAAGTTATTGCTTGTAACCACATCCCTGCAGACTTTTCAAGTATGCTGCTAGCAAAATGATGTCTTTCATTCCTTCAATCCTCTTCTCTAGTTATGCATTCGATCACCACTAATCCCAATTCCACATGGTTAGGACATGAGTTCAACAGTTTATATCAAGCTATCCAACACCCTCCTTCATGGGTAGCTTTATCTTGCATGTGGATAGTATGGTAATGATCTTGAAATCCATTGACTCAAAAAGAATATTAGAAGCAAGATCTTTCTCTACAAAAAATACCAAGAATAAAGGCTCAACAATGGTTGATTTGAAACAAATGCCTAAGGTTGGAAGAAGAGTATTAACTTGAAAATTTATTAATTCACAAAAAAATGATCAGCCTTAAGGCTTACAATAATTATTTATAGTGACAAGCAGACCTAACGATACTTTGAGACAACTGCAATTGGCAGTTTCTTAACTAAGTACACAAAAATGAGGAAATACAACAAAAATTTCCAAAAATGGAAATATTTAACGGAATAAAAAACTACTAATTTAGGCAGACATGATGAAGCCAGATTCGATGGAGTCGAATTCTAACTTCTATGGTAAGTGTAATTGAAGTTGCAAAACTAAATTAATAAATAAACACAGAAAAATCTCAAAAGTGATGGTCTAAATGATGGAATTCACTTGAAATTTCAGCAGGGTCCATGGCGAAGCAATGGATCCCGTTCATAATGATGTTTTCCATCAACCTATCAAATTTCACGCGATTTTGAGCACTTGCTATTTAATTGCTAGCAGTGTTTTTTGCCTTGTTTGGCCATGTGCATGTCTATTTGGTCCAAGAATTGCATGACCAAGCATGTTGCATCATAAACAAACCAAACAATGTTAAACAAACATACTAAACAAAGAAACAAATGCAAACTGGGAGACTTAAACTCAATACTTCTCTGAATGACAGCTCTAATAGTATGTTGTTAGAAAATGAGTCCAACAATATATATCAAACTATCCAACAATACCCATATCGACTTTACGCTTTGCTGTTCTACCCTATGGGAAACAGGCCAAGTCTTTACCAGGGATGATGTCATTCTGGTACTCAGAGCAGGATTAACCAACGTGGTAAACCAATATGCTACAATATGGCATGGAATGGGCTAGTAAAACGACATAGTTTGAATTTGATGGGGTGGTCCTGATTGGAAAATTTCCTTAATCCTCATATCAGTATTGAGGATTAGCCTAAAATACACTACTTAACTGCTTTGATATAAATATGTATCCCATCACCGTATGTATGTTGTACACCTGATGCAATATGGGCCTAAAATCTAGAATTATCTTTTTCTTTTTTTTGATTGGAGAAAGTTAGTTTTCCAGTACAAAAGCTCTCCATGTGGTGATAGTTTTGGTCATGAATCTGAACTTGCTTATTTAATCTGGACATATGCAAAACTGACTTTTTATACTTTTTTTTTTTCCTGTTGTTTGGAGGACTTCTTTTGTACTTCAATCTTTTTTCTTTAATAAAGTTTAACCTGTGTCACTGATAAAAAAATATGGGTCAGCCTTTTCGATCCTAGCACTAACATATTCAAGTTGAAGGCATCAAATGGATAAGAGCAAAGAAAAAAAGAGAATGGTTTCATGTTGGGTTTTAAATTAAGGCCTCATTTGGGATGTTATCTGTTTTAGTTGGCTTTTTGGCTATTTTAGCCAATGAAAAAAAGTTGTGTTTGGGATGATTTGATTTGTAGGATGTGACATTTTGTGTTATTGGTTATTTTAGCATTTTTGTCTTTATTGTCTATTTTAGCCTCAATCCATCATCCCAAACACCCCCTAAGTTACATGTTCAATTAATCCCCATTCCTTGATTTTATTTTCATCAGTTAATGAGACAGATTCTTGTTTCTTGGTTGTTAAATATAACTCCTTTTTGGCCCCTTGAATTGATGTCTTATTTTTAAAATGGAATTATTGCCTATGATTTTTGCAGAAACGTCGGGAGGAGATGGAGAGGCTTGACAAGG